CAAAGTATGCCAGTAAATTTTTACTCCACTTACTTACTCCTTTTACTTTCGAAGTTCCAGGCGACAGAGATTTTCAACAGAGATTTTCCATCTACGCAGGATAGGATTATAGTGTCCGAGTGTGTGCGCAAGCACAGGTACACTCTCTATTCCCTCACGCTAAGAGCCCGTTGAGACAATAGCCCGTACACGACCGAATAGATGTCAAACACAGCACAGACGGCTTTTGTGCTTTTCAAGGCGCGGAGGTGAAACACCGCCAATTTCCTGACTCCGGGATGCATCTACGAATTCTTTGATAGAAAACCCTATGACTGATTTTGGTCTGACATAGAATTCGAACCCAGGGCCTCATGATCGGCAGCCGCGTTTACGGCCTCTAGTCTAACGAGGCAGTGAAATGGTAATTGAGAACTGTAAACACACAAATATATCATTTGATAATCGCGTAGCCTAGAATTCAGAGTGCCTTACATGTCTTGAACCCTACCCTAGTGGAACCGGCCAAATGGAAATAACATTTGTGTAAAATCTTAATTTGTAACTTCATGTACTAAAATATAAAAACTGTTTCAATGAACTTCGAATTGCTTGCATGTACGACAAATGGAAGGTAAAATATGCACTTATAACTGTACTGGTGTTTTTACGTGGCTGATTATTCAAGCACCACATACTTCACAAGGCCATTCAACTCATTTAAGTGTCGCGGTTGATAAAGAGAAATTTTATTAAAATAATCATATTTTTTGTATCTTTACTGGAAAAAGTTATATTCGACGACTAGGTGTATACGTCTTACCGCTGAGTCGTAAGTTTTAATTTTTAATTCTAATTCTTATCAATGTGCTAGATCAGTTGCATGTCGGTTGCATGTCGGACTATTTTCTGTGCTTTTATATACACTAATATTAGTATTTTAATAAAAACACATCAAAGAAAAGTAATAACAGAAGTTTTTTCCTTATTTAGTTTTGTTTGAGTTGTGTTATCAACAAGATACCACTGTTGAACATAAACTCCAAAGAGACAAGTGACAAGTGACGGATTCTCGTTAGGCATCTCAGTCCCCCCCCCCCCCCCGAACGGGTAGCCGTGGATTGGTGCCATTGATGCGGTGGTGGTGCGGCTGCAGCGGGTGAGGAGTGTCGGTATTGCGAGGCGCCATTTTCCCTACCCTCCGCAACCGAATCTTGGTTGGCAGCGAAGCCATTGACCAGATCCGCCGCTGGGGTCAGGAAGGTTAGTGCTTCTGAGTGCTCGTTTTTCTTGGCCCCATGGCCTCCGCCCATCGGACAGGGGGCGTCCGTTATGCAGGTGTAGTTGGAGGCCGTGGAGGAAGGCGCCATGTGTTCTGGAGCGCCTTGCCTTAGAAGGAGATTGGGGAGGGGTAGTCCTCTCCCGAGGAGGAGCCGCCATACGGTGGCCGGCGCTAGTGGGACTGCGGATGTATGCGAAAGCGTTCCCGTGGCCCTTTCAATATGCGACGAAGGTGGAACACCATGGGGTTTTAGTCGGTACGAGTTCGACATAACTCGTCCTTGCCCTGCCTTTGGCTTGAGCCAGACTTGCAACGCGTAGTATAACGGCCTGTGTACGTGTATGCGCATATATCATTGAGTTTTCAGTTCTGTCGGCAGTCCTTATGATTGCCTTCGTTTATTTTTAATTTACATACTAATGGAAATGATCTCGGATTAAAATAAACAAATATTTATTTTAAATAAAGAGTAAAAACTTCTTATATCATACAGTCCTCCTCCTAGTACCAAGTGGTAAATTGTCAAGAACACTGGCCGCAATCAAATAATACGACAGATTTATGAAAGATGCGTATAGTACAAATTAAAAACCCGTAATCGTTTCCACTAGAGATGTGCCAGGATGCTTAGCGAGGGATGTGTTTCTTAAGAACCAATAGAATCACTTTATTTACCTAATCTCGCTCAGCGCAGCACTAGTGGAAACGGCCAAGCGGAGCGAGGTCGAGGTTTTTGTATATACAAAACAAGGGAAGGATGTGTGCGAGGGATGTATTGCGAGGGATGTGTGCGAGGGATTGGTGCGATGGATGTGTTGCGAGGGATGTGTGCTAGGGAAGGACGCAAGAAGCAGCGGGCAGTGGCACCTCACCTCGCTCACATCTAAAACGAGCCCGCTACACATCCTTGCACCGCTCATCTGCGCACCGTTTCACAGTGTCGCTACGCATCCTCGCACCGCCCAGTTACCTCGCACATCTCTGGTAAAAACGCAGCCTTATTCTCGATTAAAAATGTAATTAAGGCTGTTACATTGCTCAAATCGTGAAAAACGCCCAGGTTTACAAAAAGTTATAGCCGAATCCTTTCGTTTGCTTGCTACAAAAAAATTATGTTTTATAGTTTAGATCATCACAATTTATTTTTATTGTTTAAAATTTTTGAATATTTGACCATTATTACAAAAAAAAAATCAAATACAAAGGCTGTTTTAAACTTATTTTGTATTTTTTCTCAAGAAAGGCTCAACAGTTTAAGATTAAATTTGTATTGAAATATTTGTTAAGTCATAATAAAATAATGTATTGTTTTTATTGTATTTTTGTTAAATATTTTTCTTAAAGTATAGTAAAACATAATTCGGCCTCTTTCCGCTCCCCGAAGCTCCCCCGCTATGGCCTATTACGGATATTTACTAGTGTCGGTTCGACTCTTGCGACGGGTGGACTGTGCGCGCGTTATTTTCTAAAAAAAATATTAAAAAGTTGACAATATTTCAAATTTATAAAAACAGATTTGTTGTAAATAAAACGTACATTAGCAATAGTTGATAAAAAATTAGAAATTAAGTTGATTTACGTAAATAAAATCGTTTTTAGTTTTAGTTTTGTATATAATCGTATCATAGAATAGACTAAGCTTGACAATGCCGAAATACAAAAGCAAGTCAAAAGTAAAGCGTGGCCAAGCTCTTCAAAATTATTGGTAAATAAATTATCCTAGATTTATTTTCTTTTGTGTAAATACTTATACAGGGGTACTTATACAGCGTTCCGAAAACTGTCGTGTTTCCTTCTATTGTATAGGCGGAGAATTTATTGAGCCGCAAATAAGCAAATAAGAAAAAATATAAAGTAATATGAACGTAACCATTTTTGGCTGGTTCGATGCTACAGTCCTGCACTCCGAAGGTGGGTACAGGATCTCAGTGACGGAACCATGTAAAACCATCGTGTTTGTACTCATTCGAAAGGGCTCGCAGCCACCTAGCTGATTGTGATGATTTCACTTACCTGATGCTGCACTCCGAAGTAGTTCGAAGGTGGGTACGCGATCTCAGTGACGGATCCACGTAAAACCATCGTGTTTGTACTCAGTTAAAAGGGCTCGCAGTTACCTAGCTATCTGTGATGATTTCAATTACCTGATGCTGCACTCCGAAGTAGTTCGAAGGTGGGTACAGAATCTCAGTGACGGAACCACGTAGAATAGAACCATCGTGTTTGTACTCATTTGAAAGGGCTCGCAGTCACCTAGCTGTTTGTGATGATTTCACTTACCTGATGCTGCACTCCGAAGTAGTTCGAAGGTGGGTACAGGATCTCAGTGACGGAACCACGTAGAATAGAAACATCGTGTTTGTACTCATTTGAAAGGGCTCGCAGTCACCTAGCTGTTTGTGATGATTTCACTTACCTGATGCTGCACTCCGAAGTAGTTCGAAGGTGGGTACAGGATCTCAGTGACGGAACCACGTAGAATAGAAACATCGTGTTTGTACTCATTTGAAAGGGCTCACAGTTACCTAGCTGTTTGTGATGATTTCACATACCTGATGCTGCACTCCGAAGTAGTTCGAAGGTGGGTGCGCGATCTCAGTGACGGATCCACGTAAAACCATCGTGTTTGTACTCATTTGAAAGGGCTCGCAGTCACCTAGCCGTTTGTGATGATTTCACTTACCTGATGCTGCACTCCGAAGTAGTTCGAAAGTGGGTACGCGATCTCAGTGACGGATCCACGTAAAACCATCGTGTTTGTACTCAGTTGAAAGGGCTCGCAGTTACCTAGCTATCTGTGATGATTTCAATTACCTGATGCTGCACTCCGAAGTAGTTCGAAGGTGGGTACAGAATCTCAGTGACGGAACCACGTAGAATAGAACCATCGTGTTTGTACTCATTTGAAAGGGCTCGCAGTCACCTAGCTGTTTGTGATGATTTCACTTACCTGATGCTGCATTTCGAAGTAGTTCGAAGGTGGGTACAGGATCTCAGTGACGGAACCACGTAGAATAGAAACATCGTGTTTGTACTCATTTGAAAGGGCTCACAGTTACCTAGCTGTTTGTGATGATTTCACATACCTGATGCTGCACTCCGAAGTAGTTCGAAGGTGGGTGCGCGATCTCAGTGACGGATCCACGTAAAACCATCGTGTTTGTACTCAGTTGAAAGGGCTCGCAGTTACCTAGCTATCTGTGATCATTTCAATTACCTGATGCTGCACTCCAAAGTAGTTCGAAGGTGGGTACAGGATCTCAGTGACGGAACCACGTAGAATAGAACCATCGTGTTTGTACTCATTTGAAAGGGCTCGCAGTTACCTAGCTGTCTGTGGTGATTTCACTTACCTGATGCTGCACTCTGAAGTAGTCCGAAGGTGGGTAGAGGATCTCAGTGACGGAACCACGTATAGTAGAACCATCGTGTTTGTACTCATTTGAAAGATCTCGCAGTTACCTAGCTGTCTGTGATGATTTCACTTACCTGATGCTGCACTCAGAAGTAGTTCGAAGGTGGGTACGCGATCTCAGTGACGGAACCACGTAAAACAGTCGTGTTTGTACTCATTTGTAAGGGCTCGCAGCCACCTAGCTGCTTGTGATGATTTCACTTACCTTATGCTGCACTTCGAAATAGTGCGAAGGTAGGTACAGGATCTCAGTGACGGATCCACGTAAAACCATCGTGTTTGTACTCAGTTGAAAGGGCTCGCAGTTACCTAGCTATCTGTGATGATTTCAATTACCTGATGCTGCACTCCAAAGTAGTTCGAAGGTGGGTACAGGATCTCAGTGACGGAACCACGTAGAATAGAACCATCGTGTTTGTACTCATTTGAAAGGGCTCGCAGTTACCTAGCTGTCTGTGGTGATTTCACTTACCTGATGCTGCACTCTGAAGTAGTCCGAAGGTGGGTAGAGGATCTCAGTGACGGAACCACGTATAGTAGAACCATCGTGTTTGTACTCATTTGAAAGATCTCACAGTTACCTAGCTGTCTGTGATGATTTCACTTACCTGATGCTGCACTCAGAAGTAGTTCGAAGGTGGGTACGCGATCTCAGTGACGGAACCACGTAAAACAATCGTGTTTGTACTCATTTGAAAGGGCTCGCAGTCACCTAGCTGTTTGTGATGATTTCACTTACCTGATGCTGCACTCCGAAGTAGTTCGAAGGTGGGTACGCGATCTCAGTGACGGAACCACGTAAAACAATCGTGTTTGTACTCATTTGAATGGGCTCGCAGCCACCTAGCTGCTTGTGATGATTTCACTTACCTTATGCTGCACTTCGAAATAGTGCGAAGGTAGGTACAGGATCTCAGTGACGGAACCACGTAAAACCATCGTGTTTGTACTCATTTGAAAGGGTTCGCAGTCACCTAGCTGTTTGTGATGATTTCACTTACCTGATGCTGCATTTCGAAGTAGTTCGAAAGTGGGTACGCGATCTCAGTGACGGAATTACGTAAAACCATCGTGTTTGTACTCATTTGAAAGGGCTCGCAGTTACCTAGCTGTCTGTGGTGATTTCACTTACCTGATGCTGCACTCTGAAGTAGTCCGAAGGTGGGTAGAGGATCTCAGTGACGGAACCACGTATAGTAGAACCATCGTGTTTGTACTCATTTGAAAGATCTCGCAGTTACCTAGCTGTCTGTGGTGATTTCACTTACCTGATGCTGCACTCTGAAGTAGTCCGAAGGTGGGTAGAGGATCTCAGTGACGGAACCACGTATAGTAGAACCATCGTGTTTGTACTCATTTGAAAGATCTCGCAGTTACCTAGCTGTCTGTGATGATTTCACTTACCTGATGCTGCACTCAGAAGTAGTTCGAAGGTGGGTACGCGATCTCAGTGACGGAACCACGTAAAACAGTCGTGTTTGTACTCATTTGTAAGGGCTCGCAGCCACCTAGCTGCTTGTGATGATTTCACTTACCTTATGCTGCACTTCGAAATAGTGCGAAGGTAGGTACAGGATCTCAGTGACGGAACCACGTAAAACCATCGTGTTTGTACTCATTTGAAAGGGTTCGCAGTCACCTAGCTGTTTGTGATGATTTCACTTACCTGATGCTGCATTTCGAAGTAGTCCGAAGGTGGGTACAGGATCTCAGTGACGGAACCACGTACAGTAGAACAATCGTGTTTGTACTCATTTGAAAGGGCTCGCATTTACTTAGCTTTCTGTGATGGTTTACATACCATTTCTGAAAATGCTTTTATTGTACTCTTTTTGTTGAGTTGCGATAATATTTCTAATGTATCTTTATGTTTTTAGGCAATTGAGAAATCAGCAGAAATCCCATTCAGAAAATCAGGGGAAAGATCCGTCAACTGAATGTAATGCATTACATTCATCTACGACTATTGCAGAAACTCACGATCCGTTCGGTATGGCAGTTGATGAGGAGACTTCGCTGCCGGATATTACGGTAGCTACTTTTTACAATTAAGAGTGCCATTCTATTTTTAATGTTGTTAAATTGAACTTTGACTCCAGATCCCCATTGCGCATTGATAACCATTCGTTTCTGGTAAACAAAAACGTATTGAGGAAACCGACAAGTCTGGGAACCCATAAAATTCGACACATTCTATCCAAGATAATATTATAAACGGAAGTTTTTTTATATGAATTTAGCAATGTATTACATGATAATTATTTTGTTCTCAGCTTCAACAAGATGACATTTTACCGGAATTAACTATTGAGAAGAATCAACCAGTAACAGAAAAAAGAAATATATCTGGCAGACGAATTGTTGATATAAAATACTTTTTTTCAAAATTGCAAGAAATCAGCAATCATAGCCCCTATAACTGTGGAGTACAAAGTTTAAAAATTGTTGGAGAGAAACGAGTTGGATTGTCATCCAAGTTTACTCTAGAGTGTTTAATGTGTAAAGGAAAGTTTATATTAAATAATGTCCCAGGTGATCTGGAAATAAATACAGAATCAGTCGCTGGTGCGTCGATGTGTAAAGAAAAGTATATTCTAAATGTCTCCGGTGATCTGGACATAAATACAGCTGCGGTTGCCGGTGCAGTTTCTGTTGGTATAGGCTACTCACAATTAGAGGAATTACTGTCAGCGATCGATTTACCTATGATGACTGAGCCTCTGTACCAAAAACAGCACGAGTTTGTTTCTAACGCCTGGGAAAAAGCACTTGATCAATCCATGCAAGAAGCCGCAGAAGAAGAAAAAAAGATTGCTTTAGAAAAAGGTCGTGTGACCACTGATGGCATACCTATTATAGATGTTATTGTTGATGGATGCTGGAGTAAGAGGTCTTATAAAAAGAATTACTCAGCACTTTCAGGAGCTGCTGCCATAATCGGAAAAGAAACGAAAAAAATTTTGTTTCTCGGTGTTAAAAATAAGTACTGCAGCATATGTGCGCAAGATTGTAACAAAAATCAAACTCCGAGAGCTCATCAGTGTTACAAAAATTTCACGGGTGCTTCTACTGCCATGGAATCTACCCTGATAGTAGAAGGTTTTAGATCATCTGTTGAAATGTACGGTCTGATTTATGGACGTCTAATATCTGACGGAGATTCTAGCACGTACTCTAAAATATTAGAAGCAAGACCTTACCGTCAATTTACAGTTGAAAAAGTAGAGTGCAGAAATCACCTTTTAAGAAACTTGTGCAACAAACTGGAAAACCTGATCACAGATACAAAATATCCCATACATCTTAGAAAATTAATTACGAAAAAACGCATAATGACTATTAGGTCCACAATTAGAAAATGCATCAAAAAATATCATGATTCTACAGAGACTATAGATTTTTGCACTCACAAACTTTTTGAGGACATTCAAACTGTACATTTACATGCCTTCGGGAACCACACCAACTGTAAAAACCATTTCTGTAATTGTCGTCAAACTGAAACTGAATCAGTACTGGCGGATTTTTTCACAAGTTCTTTATGGCAGAGAATATGTTTTATTATAAATAGTATTGCTGGCCATTCAAGAAGTCTTGTTCATGATATTGATAGTAACATCGTAGAATGTTTTCACAGCGTTGTGGCCAAATTAGTTGGGGGTAAAAGAGTAAATTACTCTCTGAGGCGCGGCTATCAAACTAGGTGTTCAGCTTCTGCAATTACGTTCAATACTAAAAGAAAACCTACTACAATATTGTACAAAACAATTGTTGGCAAAAGCCCTAAAGGCCGAATGAGCACTTTAGATAATAAGTATCGGAAACTTAGAGGCTTGAAGAAACGCGCCAATTATAAAAAGCCACAGAAGACATGTGACGCTATAACTCAAAATAAAGATTATGGTGAACAAAGCTCTAAGCCGGATGTGAGTGATGATATTCTTAATTTAATGAAGGAAACTTTTATATCCACTTTAAAAAAAAGTGAAGAAGAAAGAACACGGATTGAGCGGCAGACCATTTTGCAAAGCGAGTCTAGCGAATGGCTTGAACTTAGACGTTCTTTGTTGACAGCTTCGAACTTTGGCAAAGTGATCAAAATGAGGCCAGATACTAGTTGTGCCAATATAGTAAAGCAATTGCTATACAAAATTAATATAGATGCTGCTCCTATACAGCACGGAAGAGAATATGAAAAAAAAGCGCTACAACAATTATCTACGCAAGAAGCAGTGGATATAAGACCTTGCGGGCTTTATATAGATCCCGAAATTCCGTATTTGGGGGCCACACCAGATGGGATTATAGACGAAGAAACAATAGTGGAGGTTAAGTGTCCAATAACGGCATTTAAGACAGGACTAGAGGAAGCTATTACAAAAAAAAAAGTAAATTTTTGGATTAAAGACAAATTAGGTAATTTAAAGATAAATAAAAATCACAACTGGTTCTATCAAGTACAGGGGCAGTTACACGTGACTCGGAAAGCAAAATGTGTATTCGCTGTATGGTTCAGTCAGTCGCAACCACTGAAAACGGAAGTCATTTATAGGGATGATGATTGTTTTGAAAATAAAATGAAGTTAAAGTTATGTAATTTTTATTTAAATTGTATATTGCCTGAAATTTTAGACCCCAGACATACCAGAAATATGGAAATACGTAATCCAATCTATATAATTGAAGCCATAAAGAAAAAAGAAAAAAAACAAAAACTTGAAATCTCCAAGAGGAAAATACAACGCATAATTCCAATTGCTGAGCAGGCAAACACAATGCTTTCCTCCTTATATCAAGAATCGACACGATCATTAACACCAGTAATTCCAGAAGCGGATCAACCAACCTGTTCACGATACTTGGATTATAATGAATTTTAACTTGCACAAAATATTCAACGGTTGATTTAATGTTGACAGATTTATGGTGTGCCTAACATGTTAAGATAAAATAATTAAAAAGTACGCAAAGTTTATTTCCTCTTTTACTTAATTTAGCACTTACACATATAAACCAGATCATCATTATAAGTGGAGTGTATACGAGACCTGAGCTTCCTCTACTAACTGTGCAATAATGGCATCGACTGTCCTCAATTACTGGAAATCATCATCATCATCATTACAGCCTTAAATAAGTCCACTGATGAACATAGGCCTACCCCAAGGAATGCCACAAAGCACGGTCCTGAGCCACCTGCATCCATCGACTTCCTGGATGTCTTATCAGCTCGTCACTCCATCTCGTGGGGGGTCGCCCTATACTTCGCCTACCGGTACGAGGCTGCCACTCAAAAACCTTTCTTCCCCATCGGTTGTCGGTTTTTCGAGCTATATGGCCGGCCCACTGCTACTTCAGCTTACTAATCCGTTGGGCTATGACGGTCACTCTGGTTCTACTGCGGATATCCTCATTTCTAATTTTATCACGCATTAATTCAACATTATGCAGAATGTTTAGACTGTATAATGATATATCTAGGCCATCTGATTTAGATATTTCAAATTACAATTTAAATAATTTGAGAAGAAAAATGTTACTTTATTTAGAATCTAAGTTTTAGATGATAACTGTAAATCCTTTTTAATTTTTCATAAATAGCGTCTGTGCTGATTATGAGAGTTTCTGAAAACTAAATCTTCCTAACCATTTCCATTTTTGAGAACAACTTGGTACTTACCTGGTCATCCACATACCTTCACGAAGTGTAACGCACGTAGTAACGTCCGTGCTGAATATGAGTTTCTGAAAACTAAATCTTCCTAACCATTTCCATTGTTGAGAACCACTTGGTACTTATGTGGTCATCCACATATCTTCACGAAGTGTCACGTAGCAGTATCCGTGCTGAATATGAGAGTTTCTGGAAACTAAATATTCCTAACCATTTCCATTGCTGAGAACCATATGGTACTTACAAGGTCGCCCACATATTTTCACGAAGTGTATGGCACGTAGCAGCGTCCGTGCTGAATATGAGAGTTTCTGAAAACTAAATCTTTCTAACCAATTTCATTGCTGAGAACCATTTGGTTCTTACCTGGTCATCCACATACCTTCACAAAGTGTTACGTAGCAGCGTTCGTGCTGAATATGAGAGTTTCTGAAAACAAAATATTCCTGACAATTTCCATTGCTGCGAACCACTTGGTAGTTATGTGGTCAACCACATATCTTCACGAAGTGTATGGCACGTAGCAGCGTCCGTGCTGAATATGAGAGTTTCTGAAAACTAAATCTTTCTAACCAATTTCATTGCTGAGAACCATTTGGTTCTTACCTGGTCATCCACATACCTTCACAAAGTGTTACGTAGCAGCGTTCGTGCTGAATATGAGAGTTTCTGAAAACTAAATCTTTCTAACTATTTCTATTGCTGAGAACCACTTGGTTCTTACCTGGTCATCCACATACCTTCACAAAGCGTTACGTAGCAGCGTCCGTGCTGAATATGAGAGTTTCTGAAAACTAAATCTTTCTAACCATTTCCATTGCTGAGATCGAGTTGGTACTTTACCTGGTCATCCACATACCTTCACAAAGTGTTACGTAGCAGCGTTCGTGCTGAATATGAGAGTTTCTGAAAACTAAATCTTTCTAACTATTTCTATTGCTGAGAACCACTTGGTTCTTACCTGGTCATCCACATACCTTCACAAAGCGTTACGTAGCAGCGTCCGTGCTGAATATGAGAGTTTCTGAAAACTAAATCTTTCTAACCATTTCCATTGCTGAGATCGAGTTGGTACTTTACCTGGTCATCCACATACCTTCACAAAGTGTCACGTAGCAGTGTCCGTGCTGAATATGAGAGTTTCTGGAAACAAAATATTCCTGACAATTTCCATTGCTGCGAACCACTTGGTAGTTATGTGGTCATCCACATATCTTCACGAAGTGTATGGCACGTAGCAGCATCCGTGCTGAATATGAGAGTTTCTGAAAACTAAATATTTCTAACCAATTTCATTGCTGAGAACCATTTGGTTCTTACCTGGTCATCCACATACCTTCACAAAGTGTTAAGTAGCAGCGTTCGTGCTGAATATGAGAGTTTCTGAAAACTAAATCTTTTGAACCATTTCCATTGCTGAGAACCACTTGGTTCTTACCTGGTCATCCATATACCTTCACAAAGTGTTACGTTGCAAAATCCGTGCTGAATATGAGAGTTTCTGAAAGCTAAATCTTCCTAACCATTTCCATTGCTGAGAACCACTTGGTACTTATGTGGTCATCCACATATCTTCACGAAGTGTCACGTAGCAGTATCCGTGCTGAATATGATAGTTTCTGGAAACAAAATATTCCTGACCATTTCCATTGCTGCGAACCACTTGGTACTTATGTGGTCATCCACATATCTTCACCAAGTGTCACGTAGCAGTATCCGTGCTGAATATGAGAGTTTCTGGAAACTAAATATTCCTAACCATTTCCATTGCTGAGAACCATTTGGTATTTACGTGGTCATCAACATATCTTCACGACGCGTATGGCACGTAGCAGCGTCCGTGCTAAATATGAGAGTTTCTGAAAACTAAATCTTCCTAACCATGTCCATTGCTGAGAACAACGTAGGTCTCTCAGAGGTCGAATAAAATTGTGCAAATAAGTTGTCATATCTATACATCGTTAATTTTTGTCTACTATTTACGTAGTGCCATTGTGGTACGTCTGTCTTTTGGTAGGTGTCGCTAAATTTAAACAAAGTCTAAATCGTCAAGGTTACTGACCATTGTAGAAGCCTTAATTCCTCATTTTAAGCTCTGTACGTCACGCCTTGTACTGCTTCATCCTCTCAGAAATTAGAGAACGCCTGTGTCCCGTATTCATCATTCATCATCATCATTACAGCCCTTCACAAGTCCACTGCTGAACATAGGCCTCCCCCAAAGAATGCCACAAAGCACGGTCCTGAGCCACCTGCATCCATCGACTTCCTGCATGTCTTACCAGGTCGTCACTCCATCTCGTGGGGGGACGCCCTACACTTCGCCTACCGGTACGAGGCTGCCACTCGAGAACCTTTCTTCCCCATCGGTTGTCGGTTCTTCGAGCTATATGGCCGGCCCACTGCCACTTCAGCTTACTAATTCGTTGGGCTATGTCGGTTATTCTGGTTCTACTGCGGATATCCTCATTCCTAAGTTTATCACGCAGAGAAACTCCGAGCATAGCCCTCTCCATAGCTCGCTGAGCGACCTTGAGCTTCCTCATACGGCCAGCAGTGAAGGACCACGTCTCAGTTCCGTAAGTCATCACTGGCAACACGCACTGGTTGTACAATTTCGTTTTAAGGTTTTGAGGTATGTCTGACGAGAAGATGTGTCGTAGCTTCCCGAACGCTGCCCAGCCGAGTTGAATCCGTCGATTGACCTCTCGGTCGAAGTTGGACTTACCTAGTCGGACTATTTGTCCCAGGTAAACATACTCGTCAACAACTTCGAGCTTAGTGCTCCCAACAACTACCGGCATAGGTGTGACATGGACATTAAACATAATCTTTGTTTTGTCCATGTTCATCTTAAGACCTATCCGTTGGGAAACACTATTGAGGTCATTGAGCATAGTACTTAGGTCCTCCAGCGATTCTGCCATAAGGACTATATCGTCGGCAAATCGAAGGTGTGTGATGTACTCGCCATTGATGTTAATACCGTACCCTTTCCAGTCCAGAAGCTTGAAAACGTCTTCCAATGCAGCGGTGAAGAGTTTCGGGGATATGACGTCACCCTGTCTTACACCTCTCTGCAATTGGATAGGTTTCGTACTCTGGTTCTGTACTCGGATAGCCATCGTAGCCCTACTGTACAAGCACTTCAACACTTCGATATACCGACAGTCAACTTGGCACCGCTGAAGGGACTGCAGCACCGCCCAAATTTCGACGGAATCAAAGGCTTTCTCATAGTCCACATACGCCAGACATAGTGGCAAATTGTACTCTTCGGACTTCTGTACAACTTGCCGAAGGGTATGTATGTGGTCTATGGTGCTAAAGCCCTTTCGGAAACCGGCTTGTTCGGGAGGCTGGAAGTCGTCAAGTCTGCGCGCGAGACGATTCGTAATGACTCTCGAAAACAGCACGTAGACGCGGCTCAGAAGGGAAATCGGTCTGTAGTTCTTCAAGAGAGCGTTGTCACCTTTCTTGAAGAACAAGACCACCGCACTTCTGCTCCACGCCTCCGGTGTAATGCCACCATGGAGGACGGAATTAAAGAGCTTCTGAAGGACTTCAAGTACCGGTCTTCCACCCGCTTTCAGAAGCTCCGCTGTAATTCCATCCTCGCCTGGGGCCTTACCGTTTTTAAGGTGCTGGAGAGCCATTCTAATCTCGCTCAGACTGACGTCCGGGATATCTTCGGAATAGTGTCGGATGAGACTCGCTCTTGGATCGTTACTCACACTTGCGTGTGGCTCCAACGATGACGTGTACAGCTGCCCATAGAACCTCTCAATCTCACTCAAAATCTCAGGTGTCCCGGAAACGATGCTGCCACATTCTGTCTTCAGCTTTGACAGTTGGCTCTTTCTGGCAGACAGATCTCTGGCAAAGACTTTGGAGC